GGAGGAAAAGATAGAAACAATGTTAAAGTAGACTCTACAGGACTTTTCAACTAGATATATACAGCAGGTGAGGAATTGGGAGAAGGTTAAATATTTACATTCGATGACTATATGAGTCTGTTATTATGTCAAAATAAGAAGCATGTTTGAAGGGAAATAGGAGCAACTTTGAAGGGAGAAAGATGGTTAAGTTTGTGTCCTGTTGAGTTTGAAGCTCCTGTGAGACAAGTCAATGGAAATACTAAGCAAAAAGTGTGTGTGTGTGTGTCTGTGTGTGTGTGTGTGTGTAGATTTTGAAACATAAAAGCAATTTAGGCTAGAAATAAAGATTTGAGAGAAAGCAGTATCTGTATAATAACTGATACCATGGAAGCAAATAGAGAGGTACATAGAAAGGTACAAAGTATGAAAAAGAACAGAGCCTGGGATAAAACTCTAGGTGAAGGAGTCTGAGAAGGAGCAGCCAGAACAATGAAGGGAAAACCAGGAGCGTGAGATGTCATTAAATAACAAAAAAAGAGATTTTCGGGATGAATGGTCAACAAAGAAAACTACTAGACATAATTAAACACAGTATGTAATAGAATGTTTTCAATATGTTTAGCAACATGAGTGGCCTTTGTCAGAGAACTCCTAGTGGAGTGATAAGAACGGAGGCTGGTTTGAAGCGAGTAGCAGTAAATAAGAGGTAAATAAGTAGAGACAGAGAGCTTGGCATATAACCTTCTCCTACTATTTGGCTTTTGCAAACTCACCAGCCTGATCTCTCATGTTCTATTTGAGCCCTACAATCCAGTCATTAAAGATACTTGCCATTTCTTAAACATACCAGACCATGTCTTGCCCTTTCTCACATACCTTCCTTTCAAGATTAAGCTACAACATTGCTCCTTTCATCAAGTCTAATTTGCCCCCAACCCTGTGTCTCTCTAAGTAGACATGACACTTCTTCTCCCTTTGTGAATATGGTACCCATTGCATAGTCTATCCTGACTAATCCAGGATATGACTGACTGATTACAACTTGCACCTCACTCTTGGAACCCCCAAATCCTAAAATGAATGTGATAAATTACAGAAATGGTCACAGGTTTCTTCTTGGATTCACATCCCTTTGCAAGGCGATTTTGGTGCTTTTGCTCACCAAGAGGTCAGAATCCATTTCTTCAATACTTTAATCAGATCTTGGCCATGTGATTTGTCTTTGGAAATGGGACACTAGCAAAGATGACACAAGTAAGGCATGAAAAGCTCATCACTGATGGCACTAAGAATAAAATCACTTTTGAACAAGCACAGTCTCATTGGCTACAGAAAGAACAATCACGTGAACAAGAAATCATCCAAGTTGATACTGGGCAATTGCCAGAAATGTGAGTGAAACCATCCTGGACCTCCTAGCCTCAGCTGAGCCAATCTAGACAGAAGAACTGACCAGTTAATCCATAAATCAATCATGACAAATAGAAACTCTGTATTGTTCTAAGTCTCTAAATTCTAGAGTAGTTTGGTACACAGCAAAACTTCACTGGTAGGGTGAACAAGAAACCCCAAAGAAATTTCATTTATTTTGCTAGATTGTCATTAATACTCAGAGAGTGTTAACAGAGCAGCCAGAAATAGTGAGTTTTGTCCCTCATGTTTACACTGTTAAAAGTCAGATTCTTCAATGGCACTTATTTGTTCAATATTTCCACAAGAATATCTTTTTTATCTACAGGTTGCAAAAGGAATGGGGAAAAATATAAATAAATTCAGAGACTAAAGAGAGAAGGAAAAGGCCAATGCTGAGTACACATGACACATTCATCTAAAGACTGAGAAGGCCAGTTTGTGCAGAGGCAGTAGCATTCTATAATAGGAGTTTATGAGGACAAAAATGCCAAGAGCTGGGCTAGAAGGAAAAAGAAGCTATAATTCAGAAAAGAAACTAAACTTAGGAAATGAGAACTCAGAAACAGAATCATGGATTTAAATGTGGAAGAAATTTCTCTTTATATAATAGCAAATGATGTTTAATTTATCTTTAACATGCACAGATATATAACAGGTTTTGCCCTAAGAAGAATTTCTTTAAAATTTGTCAATATTCTAAATGATGAGATAATTATCACTTTGTAGATGTCGAGATGTTTCTGAATCAATAAATTTTATTTAGGAGTTTATCATTAGATTATTTCTAGTTTGGTTAATAATAATGAATACAAGGAATGCTATTCTTAACAGTTACTGGGCTGCTAAACTAAGAAAAAGAACATTTCGCTCTCTGTTTTTCAATGTACATTGGGTCTAAAATTCACTTAACCTTAAATAAACCACAGTTTACAAAGATATCCTCAAACAATTGTACTTTTCTTGTGACTTTAAAGTAGAATTTGTCCTAAGACATTTCAATTTGTTTTTGCCCAAGGGAATCAATGATATGTTTTGGACCAAAATGCATTATGATTTCAGAAGAGTTCTGAAATGCTTTTGCTTTAGAGAAAAATATGTGTTCTCCTTTGTATTGGCAGGAAAAAAAACTGCAATTCTGTGGTATATTTAGTCAAATGAAAACTAGCGTCCTGAATATACAAACGCTATAACTACTTTATGTAAAGACCTGAAGTCCTTGGGAAAAGGCATAATATAAATAATTGATTGATATGTTTTACTGAAAAAACTGAAGCATTTAATGTTGTTATCATTCCTCTCAAGAAATAATGAACTCAACATAACTAAGAGTATTACCCAAATATCAAGCATTTATTGAGTACCTTATGGTATTTTATTTATTCAAAAAAGACTTAGTGAGAAATTACTATGTTCTAGATGCTGGTTCTAGATTCTGGAATACATGGTAAATAAGAGAAGTATGGCCACTTACCTGCACAGAATACAGTGGGAGAATAGGAAAGTAAAGAAGTAAAAAATATGAGAGAAAAACATTAATTTTTATGGTATCGTAATAAATTAAACAAACAGGGTACCATTATAATAAAAAAAAAAGTGGAGAGGATTAACTTGACTTAGAGTGATTCCTAAAAAAAAATGACATTAAAGCTGAGACAAGACAGAAAAAAAATCACCAAGGGAAAAACAATGAGCAGCATGTGTGAAGGTACATGGTGTTGCAGGGTGACCGCTTACTGTGTTTGAAGAAATCAAAGAACAATGGATTAAATATAAAAAGCAAAGGAAAGTAAGACATAAGATGAATTTACATATGCATGGATCAAAAATCATGCTGGAACTTATAGCTAAAATAGGGAGTGTAACTTTTATTAAAATGAAATAAATGTGAAGCAAGAAAATAATGATTGCTTAAACAAGGGTAGATTCAGTAGAGAGGGAAAGTAAACAAATTTAGATTTTAGAGGCAAAATGGACAGGCTGTGCTGAAGTTTCATATGAAAAAGGAAGAACCCAAGCATGATGCCAAATAATGTGCACAAAATAATGGTACTATTTATTGAAAAGTTCAGAGATAAACAAAAGTGTCCTAGAGGAGGGGTTAAGTTTGGGGGAAGCGTTGAATTGTGTCATAAACTTTGAATGTGCTACATAGAAATACAAACAAGACCCTGATTCTCAAATATGCAACTGTGGATACCTCAACACACATACAGAGAGACAGAGACAGAGAATGAGAGAAATAGAAATAAATACTAAGCATAATTAAATGCCAAACTACACAAATTTAGAGAAAAGGGTAAAAAATAAAAACTAGAATCATGGAAGATTTGAGGAGGAGTGGGAAATATGTAAAGAACACATAAGTATGAAAGTGGCCGAAGAAAGGAACTACTCTACATGGCAATTGATGAGTATAGAGCCCCAGAAGCACAGGACTGGGATAAAACATAGGGGAATGAAGCTCCTTTATTTAACGAAGAGCAGACTTTTTACACTACCGGTTTAGAAGCTTGAAGGATCCTTAGTAATATTTAACATGTGAAAATCAAAAATGACATGCACCTGCTAGGCATGTTAGATTGGTCATGAATGACTAGCACAGCACATAGAATGAAACAATTCAAAGAAGGAATCAAGAATTTAGTATTGAGTGATGAAAAGAGTTGTAGAAGGCCTCTATATCAGGCTGGGGTATCTCAGTTGAACACAAGAGGCTGTAAGGTCATTTTGTTGGAATGTAATGTGAATTCTAGTGCTTCAGGAAGAGGCTAAGATTGTTGTAATTTAAATGGAATTTGAATAATTTAATTATATAAGTTAGATGGGAGCAAAAGAGTTGAGATATCTTCTCTTTAAAAGAATAACCAGTTTTTTAAACAGAGTGCTAAATAAATTGACAAACAGATATATTTGTGTAAAATGTAAGTTACCTCCTCAATATCCTTTAAAAATAAAGTTGCAGCACTAATTCTTTTGTTTAAAAGGTCCCCCTGGTCTCTTTCTTCACTCTTCCACACAAACATATCAATCATGACCTCCAACTTTCAATTTATCAACATGCATTGGTTTGAGTTAAAATGGAATAATTGAAAATCTCTTTATTCTCATTTATCTATAATAATTTATCTACAAAAGAACACCATAATTTTCAATAGTCATATTTGTTAGTTAACTTTTCCAAAATTTAGTTCTTACCCAAGTTCATCAAAGTTCCTAATTTTAACGTATTAATTGTGGGCAGAAGGTCATGGATGGCTGAATTGACATAAAGCTTCTTTTGGATCTATAGAATTTTTACAATTATTAATTCAATTTGAATGTGAAAGTTGAACAAATTCTGTTTTATGTTAATTTTTTTCTAAATTAAAATATTTGTTGTACAGATGACGGTAGACATGTGCATAAATATTTAAATATTTTCAAATGAATAATCTGTTGAAAGCAGCAATTGACTTCACTTAGAAATGTTCGTATGAGTTTTGTGTAAAGGTTGACAGGCCTTTTCAAGAAGATGAAGAATTATTTTAGTTAAAACAAACAAAAAGGCCAAAATAATCTATCAACATCATAAGTTATTGTTGACCTTTCTTGTAGATATAACTTACAGATATAGCAAATTTTCAAAAACATTTCTGGAAATCTTTCTGATTCAGTTGTCATTCAGGAGACTGAAAAAAAAAATTCCAGAATAAGAAACTGATTCTGCGAACATTATAATAATTCTACTAGATATAGTATTTTACATAGTAGAAAAACATTTACTGGCACGGCTCACTAAATTTAGAAATTTATAATTTTCTATTTAAAAAGGTTATATTAAAACATAAGTTTGTCACAGAAGACTTTTCAAAAATAATTTATATTTATTAAATTACCCTAAAATACCCCAAAAATGCATTATAAACCCAGGGATAAAAATTCTCATTTTCCTGGAGCATATCATTTAAAAGGAAAATTATTAACATAATAATAGTAACAAAGGAGCATATTCCTAAATAAATAGATGGAGAGTTACATACACCCTGGTTTAAGCATTTCCCTTGGAAAAATAAATATCATAGCTCTTGGCACATGGTGGACTCTCATTGTGTATTTGTTGAACTGTCTAACTGATCAACAATTACATCATAAGAAGTGGGGCTCTTTTTAAAGCACTATTTAATGGTAGAAAAATGACTTTTAAAAAATCTAGAAAGAAAAATACCAGGTGGCAAATAAATTGAATTTGAACAGTAAAACAAGTTACAGAAAATCACCTTTCAGTAACTTTGATAGCTTTTGAAAAAGTACTCTAATTAAAATTATATTTTTATGGTAAATACACTATAATTTATTTCAAAT